GGGTTATGCGATTTGGGCTTGGACGGGGCAGACTCTGGGGTTTTTGTTTGGGCTGGGGTATTAAGCCTGGACTGGCCCAAATTCGAACTTCTCTCTTTATTTCCTTTTTTTCATCTTTTTCTTTTCTTTTTATTTTTCAAAAATTGAAAATAAAGATCTGAATTAAACCCTAGGACCTAATTAAACTAATTAAACCTAAATGATGGTTAACACAACTAATTAATACAAATTACAGGAAAACTAACAAAATTCAAAGCTAGAAAAACAAATCAATTTTTGTGATTTTTTGTATTTTTGTAAAACTCCTAATTACTAATTGGTTCCAAAAATATGTAAAATTAAACCCTAAATGCAATGCATATTTTTTGTATCTTTATATGAATTAAAATGCACGGACAAGCAATTAACATAAAAATACCACAAAAATCCACAAAATTTCAAATAATAAAAAGAAATTATTTTGTTTGAAATTATGGGAGTGACTCATATAGGGCAAAAATCACGTGCTCACACCACCAGCTTAGCAACCTTGGGTGAATGTTGGTTACCATGCCGAATCTAGGGACTTCGTGCCTCATTTTCTGCAAAACAAAGTGTTAGACCCTTACCCCGCCGGACTCGACTATTTCAACCAATAATTAGCATAAGCAACATTTAGTTCTCCAAATAAATGCACAGAATATGGTGGCGTCCGTTTGGATTCCAAGGAAACCCAGTGGACTTTGGACAAGGCTATCTTAAAGAGTCATTATGTGGACAGCATAACGGACTCGACTAGGTTTGACAGTAATGCATGCACAGTTAAACAGAATAAGGTTTCTATGGGATATTAGACCGGTACCCTTGAGCGGACAACTCAAGAGGGAAAGGCACGGAACCATCGACTGCACCGCTGATCGACTGGTTTTACCGCAAATACGCCTTTACCAAATTTAGGGGGTGATATATTGGAAGGGCGCAACCACTCATTATAAGCGTTGCTATGGTATTTGTTTGGCACGAGTGGAATATGATGTTGAATATGCAGTTACAATAATCAAACAAATTGTCACGTATTTGCACGTTCATAAAATAATAATTACAATAATTGCTCATGATTACAACAGTATTGAAGGAAAGCGGTAAAAGCATTAAAGAAAAGAAAACAAAAAACCAAGTCAGTTTCGAAGTAGAAGAGAGATAAAGACATTAAATAAAAGCAATAAAGTCACAAATAACATGTAATGGTAAAAGCCTAAAAGAAAAGTCCCCAGCAGAGTCGCCATGCTGTCGATGCCCCCTTTTTCTTCCTTAAGAGGCGAAATCGGGTTTACGACCTTTTTTGGGAGGACAACTCTTTTCCCTTTTGGGAATTGGGTTTTTGGAATTGAAGAGTCGCCACCTAATGATTAAAGTGCATTAGGACACTAAAAAGGGTTTTTGAGTTGAAAAATCAGAGTTTGGATAAGGTCTAGAAATTATCTCGAGGGGAAGGTGTTAGACACCCCTCAAGATCCACTAGTGTGGTTCCCGGCCATTTTATATTGTGACTTCACATAATCAAGTAGACAATCAAAGATTCAAATATACAACATTGCAAATAAGCCAAAAAGTGCTTTGAAGGTAAGTAGGGAAGGCAGAGATTTATGAAAAAATTTGAATAGTTTTACAAGAAGAGATGAAAAAAAACAAAGGGAGAGGGGTCCTAGGTTTATGATTAATATGGATCATTAATGCAATATCCAGTAATCGTGCCTCAAAAGGGGCTACATGAGATATTAGGGCATCGGTCATCATCTCCATATTCTACCCTTCCCACCCCGTAGAGGTTATTAAATGCGTGAGTTGGTCACGAATACTTATTGCGTGCTATTACCCGTCCCGTCCTATAAGTCCTGGAGGGTATTTAGGACCATTATTCCTACGTAGTAGGGACTAGGCTGAACCCTTAGGTTTAAAGGTTAAAATGCTAAGCGACATACATAACAAATAGGACTGCACATAAGGGAACATACAAAGACAAATAAAGGCTCATAGATCCCTCCACAAGTGAACACATAATTAGCACGTCTCAAACACATTCAAGGTCTCAAAGATAGGAGTTTTTTTTACAAAAAGGGAATAGGTAACAGCAGTTGAGTTAGTGAAAAAAAAACCGTTAAAGCATTGTTTTAAAAATAAAGTAGTGACAGTAGTTTGACGAGGTGCAGGACAAGTAAAATAGCACGATTCTAGGCAGAGAATGGCAACCCAGTATTTTGAAAACATAAAAATCAGAAACTCAGAGAGAGTGATATATGCACCATTTCAAAATCGTTTCCAGAAAGAGCAGGATTTTTTAATAAAAACAGAGTGAACTTCAGAGAGTCAAAATAAGAATGGGAGCGGCAGAGTTCAAAATTAAAAGAGGCTAATTAGTCTTAAACTGGTAACAACATGATTAATCGATTCTTATTAGGCCTAAAGTTTGCCTGGGCGTCATATACATTGTCTGATTATCTTAAAGAGTGGACATGCATATTTGATTCTGATTTTTTCTAAGGTACGCATAGATAAGGTACTTGCAGAAGCGT